TTCTAAAGTTGTTACATCTCTTCCTAACCTTGTTCTTATTACTGTGTTTCAATTATACTATTATATATAAACTCTATAATATAATATAATTTTATGAAATATAATTCTATTTTTACTTTAAAGTTAGCTACTAGGTGGCACTGTAATCAACAAGATGTCAATTTGTTATAAATACGCACGCACTCAGAATTGACGGTTGTTAGTTGTGTTTGTTTTTTGTACATGGTATCTGGTTGTTCATACAATAAAACATGAATACAAACTAAGCCAACAGATGGCGAAACGAGCTTGTAAAATGTAAGAAGGAAGCTTACACATCCTTTATAAAAGCTACAGTTTCGAAACGTAATTAAACCCTAAATTTTAAAATATTCGCAATAAATGTTTTTCCAGCTAAACGTCAGGTTATTTTAATAATCAGCGTACTAATTCTTCGATGTATCAGTCTGTTCAATTTCACGAGAAGAGGTAAAAATAAACGCCTGCAACGTTATTCTAGCGCGTTGTACCCTAGTAATTACTGTCCTTCTCTTTACACAGCTTGATTTCTTAGTTTGATATCAGACTTAACCAATTCTCGTTATTAACTGAACTATATAATATAGTTATGAAAACATCCACTTACATTAATTAGTTATACATCAGGCTTATACAATGTAAAAGTACTTGATTTGAAGATCAGTTTCTTTTAATATCTTTTATTCTTCAGGTTTACATGATCAATTAACAAAAAAGTGTTATCAAAAATATAAAAAAAGTTGACGAATAATCAATTGTGACTTAAATTTCCATAAATTTATCATCCTATTTATTTTGTCGCTAGAATAGTTTGAGGTAAAACATTACGACAACAATAAATTATTTTGATTCCTAACTTACTAATTTATAACGTTGATTCTTTATTCAAACTACTTTAAATTGTGACTGTTGCACTTTTCACACACATTTAAACCACTGAATTTGAAATAAACTTGTGACTGTTTTACTTTTTACACACATTGAAAAAACTGAATTACAAGTAAACTTTTGACCGTCGCACTTTTCACACACACATATAAACCACTGAATTTTAAATATACTTGTGAGTGTTGAACTTTTCACACACATATAAACCACTGAATTTGAAATAGACTTGTGACTGTTGCACTTTTCACACACATATAAACCACTGAACTTCATAACAACTTGCGACTGTCGCTTCGAACGCATGTGTTTAGACCCTGGGAATTATATATATAAAAAAAAAATACTGTATTCGCGTGGCTAGAATAACAAACAATGTCTTGTTTCGACGCCCTTCTTATGTTACGTTTCTGCAATCTCGGGACTGTTCAAAAGAGGGACCACTAGGGCACCATGAAGGCGCCATTGATTTATAGAAAAAATAGCGGTCTTATATTCCGTCCCCCTAGAAATATATATGTATGTTAAAAAAAACTTGTTTTTTTTTTTACTTCTTTTGAATTATATCTGGTCATGTAGTTTTAAGTTAATTTTATAAAAATAGGCAAGTTTGGGCCTGTAAGTCTCCTGTAAATATATGTGTATAATTTGAACGTTTTATCTACATCAGGGTATTTGAAATGTGTTTTATTATTTTGAAGATAATTCTGTAGTAGTTTGGATTACTGAGGATATAGTACTTTGAAAATAGTCCAGTAGTAGTTTTGAATACTGAGGATGTAGTGTTTTAAGATAATCTAATGATAGCTTGGAATACCGAGAATGTAGTGTTTTGTAGATAATCCCGTAGTATTTCGGATTACTGAGGATGTAATGTTTTGTAGATAATCCCGTAGTATTTCGGATTACTGAGGATGTAATGTTTTAAATTATTATTC